ATAAAATAAAATAAAATAAAATAAAAATAAACCACAATGAAATAAAGGCCCAGAGGCCCTCCCAGAGTTCCCCAGCCTCCCAAGGCCCGTCCTGCCCGCGCAGTCCCCCTGACCTGGCGGATGCCCAGGCGGTAGGCGAGGATCCGATCCACGGCGTTGGGGTTCATCTGTGTCCACTGCAGGCTGTAGGAATACACCCGGGGCCTGTTCTGCCACAGAGGGTTGTAGGTGTCGTAGTAGAACTCGGGGGCGTAGGCTTTGCCTGGGGGAGGCAAGGACATGGGTCAGGGACACAGGTCAGGGACACAAACAAACCATGGAAACCTCGCTTTGGGAGCCAAAGGTTGAGACCCAACCCCTGGTGTGCTGAGCCTTCGTTAAATCAACTCCTGGTGGTTTGAGTCTTTGCTAAATATGTTCTGTCAGAAGTACATTTGGGAATCCTTTGCCCCCCAGAAGTCATCAGGAAGAAACAAAACCCTCCAAGCCCAGCTTTGATGTGTTTGTGAGCCCCTGGTGTTTTGAGTCTTTGTTAAATATATTCTGTCAGAAACACATCTGGGAATTCTTTGCCCCCCTAAAAATCATCAGGAGGAAATGAAACCCTCCAAGCCCACCTTTGAAGTGTTTTTGAACTTTGTGAACCAGGCACTGCTTTGTTCTGGCCAGAGATTCATTCCAGCTACACAAGTGTCCTTTCAAGACATGTTTGTGCACTTTAGCAAACACAGAAATTAGTGTTTATTGGTTCTCAGTCCCATGATTCTCCTCATTAATCAGTGTTCCATCCTTCACTGGCTAATTTGGTCCCCATTCTTTGGTCCTCTTATCACTCTTCCTCAGAGAGAGAATCTCCAGCACTCAGGCTGTGATGTCTTTGTTAATCCCCTCTGTATCTCCTGGTTACTCCAAGGAGAGAACAGAAAAAAGGGAAAGGAGAAGGAGAGGGAGAGGAAGAAGGAGAAAGAGGAGGAGGAGAAGGAGAAGGAGGGCCATACATTTAAGATCCCAGATATCCAACCTTCAGCTCCTTTAAGCTTTGTCTACTAAAACCCACCAGAGCCAGTCCAGGGAAACTCAGAGTTTCAGTGGTTTAAAGATCAAACCAATGAGTCTGGTAAAAGAAACCCACCAACCGCTACCATTAATTATAAATTTAGGAAAGTTATATCGTTTCCAACACCTCCATCCACGTTTTTAAAGGATTTGTGGCGATGCTTTGCCTTTATCATTCAGTCACTCGGTGGAATTCGCAGCCCAGGTGTGCGCAGGGAAGAGGAAAAATGAAGGGAGCCTCTGGCAAAGGCTGGAGCTACACAAGGTGCCTCTGCTCTGATTTTTTCATGCCCAGCTGACTCAAATGGAGACATCAAAACGACCTGCACGACTCTGGGAGACTCTGTGACAGCTGCTGGAGCTGGCACAGATAATATGGAATGACACCCGGGAGCCGGGAGTAGGAGATGGATATTTCCAGCGACTGCTGCTGCCTTCATCACATCTTCTCCTCTGCACCTTCCCACCTGGAATGCACCCAGGCTGTCCTGGATAACCCCCCCAGAGGTGCCCTCTGTTCTCCTGCATTATTCAGCTGAACAGACTGGTTTGTACAAGGCAGGGACAGGACGTTTCACAGGGCACGGTGTGACATGAGTGGCTCACCAGCGTTTCCAGCCTTTGGAAACAGCAAAATCCCAAGGATGGTGCCCCAAAACATGGCCTGAATTCACCACATTTTGACTTCAACCCACAAAGAGGTTTTGCCCAGAGGTGTCCCATCCCTGGGAACATTCAAGGTCAGGATGGGCAGAACTTGGAGCAACTTGGTCTCGTTAAAGATGTCCCTGCCCATGTCAGAGGGACTAGATGGCCTTTAAAGATCTTTTCCAACTCATGATCTTTCATGGAACAGGTTCATCCTGCCCTGTCCCCTTTTGGGAGCAAACCCAAACCAGGCTTTGACTCATTTTGTCGCTCCAAGTACGTAAAAATGAGACAAAACACAGGAAACCAGAATATTTACACGTTACCCTCCTGCAAAGGTCTGAAAGGAGCTTGCAATTAGAGAAAAATCCAAGCAGGGCAAGGTCTTTTCACCTCCCAGAGCTTATATTTCCATCCTTCCATTTCTCCGGGGGTTTTGTCAGTGGGGATAATTAGGAAAGGGACTGAATAACATGGGACACATGGGAAAACATGGTTTGCCTGCTCCCATGGAGCTGTGAGAGGGACGTGGATTCGTTAATCACCTCCTTTAATTGAGGTTTGAGACGCCAAAACTAACACTGTGTTTAGGCCTTTTCTCCTCCAAACTATCCCTGTCCACAGGTATAAACAGAGACGGATGGAGAGGCCTCAAAGTGGGACAATTTTCACCCTCAGAAAGACAGTGAGAAGAGGGGAGGGGAAAGTGCATTAAAATGATAAAAAATGCGAAGGGACAAAGGGAAAATCACACAAATAGACACCAACATGGTGGGTGTTGACCAAGCCTTTGTCTCTCCAGCCACGCTTTGCTTTCCAAAGCATGAAAAGCCCCTTTTAGCCAAGAGGTTTTTTTTGCCAATTGGTGAAAGAGGAGGTTCAATCAGCCAGGACTGGGGCAGAGGTGGTGTTGTTGAGGCAGCAAACAACAACACCCCGAGGGGAAGGAGCAAAGCAGAAGCTCAGCTGTAAAACCTGAGCCGGGAGATAAATGAAAGGAGGCCCAGCGGTGGCCGCGATTTGTTTTCCTTATTTATGCACAGTGGAAATAATGGAGGAAAAGCTCATGCTGGATGCAAATTATCATCTCTCCCCTTTTCTCCATAATGGCATCTCTGGGGGAAGTCCTGAAAGGATCCATAATTAGACACTTGTCACAACGTGGGCCCTCGAACAACACGGTCACCTCCGGAGCGGCGAGGAGGGCCCGTGAGGAGCGGCATTATCCCAAATCCCTCGGAACACAGGAGGGCTCTGGTGTGAATGGAGATGCTGAAAAATCAACAACACAGAGCTAAGACCTTTCCTTGCAAACCTGAGAAAGCTGGGAAGCGGTTTGGAGCACAGGGAAAGCGGGTGTGGCCTTTGGAAGGGTGGGAGCCATGAGGGACGTGGGGCGGTGCCTGGGCTGGGTGATGTCCCCCGTCCCCACAGCCCTTGGCTCTGACAGCTGTGCCCAGCTCTGGGCCCTGAGGAAGTGGAAAGTTGGTGGAAGTCCTAATCCACATCCTGGGAAACGTTCCCCCAAAACCCAGACTTGACTCCCCTTCCTCTGACAGGAGGTGACACTGAGCTGGCCCTGAGCCAGAGGTGGATAAGGAGGTCAATGGGATCCTGGGGGCATGAGGAAGAACATTCCCAGCAGGTCAGGGAGGGGATCCTGCCCTTCTGCTCAGCCCTGGGAGGCACATCTGGGGTGCTTTGTCCAGCTCTGGGCTCCTCAGGACACAAAGGAGCTCCTGGAGCAGGTCCAGGGGAGGGTGATGAAGATGATGAAGGGATGGAGCATCTCTGAGGGAACTGGGGCTGTTCAGCCTCCAGAGGGGACACCCAGAGGGGACCTCCCCAAGGGCTGGCAGGGCCTGCAGGGAGGGGGCAGAGGATGGCCCAGGCTCTGCTCGGGGGGGCCCAGCAATGGCACAGCAGGAACGGGCAGGAACTGATGCCCAGCAAGTGCCACCTGCACAGGAGGAAGAACTTCTTGTTTGGGCAGTGACCCAGCCCTGAGCAGATTGGCCAGAGAGGGGGGGAGTCTCCTCCCTGGGGATATTCCAGAGCCCTCTGGACACAATCCCTGTGCTCTGGGATGGCCCTGCTGGAGCAGGGAGGCGGCACCAGGTGATCCACTGTGAGCCCTTCCAGCCTGACCCATCCTGGGATTTTGTGACTCCAGACAAACAACCCAACCCTGTCACTGCCAAACCAAAGGCAGCACTGGCGAGCAAATCATCCTCCACTATAGAAACAAAGAGATCACGAATCATGGAATCCCAGGATGGTTTGGGCTGGAAGGAACCTTAAAACCCATCCAGTGCCACCCCCTGCCATGGGCAGGGACACCTTCCACTGTCCCAGGGTGCTCAGGGCCTTGTCTTTGCTCCCCTTGCTGTGGGGAGGCAGCAGCTGATGTGGGGGAACCACCTGCAGTCCAGAACCAAGCTCTTTCCTTGGAAAAGGTTATCCCACATTCCCCCCTGCAGAGATGCCTCAGACACGTAGGGCTGTGTCTCATGTCCCTTGTGCTCCAGCTGGGCATCCCTTGGGGTGACCAGCTCTACCTTCACCTGCCTTTCTTCCACAGCCACGGCAGCCTCACCTTTCCAAAGCAAAGCCCTTCTTTTGTTCCCACAGGAAACATTTCCCTTTTTAAGCACAGGCAGCAAAAACACCCTTCGAGGCACTTCAGGATTTATTAAGACTTGTCCAAGGCCAGGTTGGACAGGGCTTGGAGCAACCTGGGCTGGTGGAAGGTGTCCCTGCCCATGGCAAGGGGTGGCACTGGATGGGCTTTGAGGTCCTTTCCGACCCAAACCATTCCACGATTTCAGTTTAACTTAATTAATCCCTCCCGAGGAACTGTGGTGTTTGGGGCTCTGCCAGGGAGAGGATACAGGACACAGCTGGATGTGGAGAGAATTGTTTGTTTTTCCTTTCTAGCACTGACAAAACACCCATTTCTTGCACCTTCTGAACACGCAGCGTGTGGGAAATAAGGGGAGGGTGGGAACAGCAGAGGGACAGGCGACACCAAACACGGTTTTACTCCTCTGGGCTGCTCAAAAAATGCACAAACACAGCAAATGTTTGTGTTTGAAGACTACGCTGCTTAAATAAAGCTGGAATTCCCACCGGGAATGCTCCCGGAGACCACCCAGCCCAGCTCAATTACACATCGGCGCTGTTGTTCCGCAGATCTCGATGGATTTGCGTATGAAACCCGTAATTATCAGCTGTGCTAATGGCCCTCCCCGGCACACGGGGATGAGTTGGGATTGTGTTTATTTCCCTCCTCAGGATGGCACAGGGGGGGAAGGAAACCCCCAGCCCCCCTTTCTCCAAAAATACCCACAAAAATAACCCCAAATACCCCCAAAATAACCCCAAACCACATCTCATAATAACCCAAAACACACCCCAAAACACTCTGAAATCACCCCAAAAATACCCATCAAATAGCCCCAAAAGAACCACAAAATAATCCCCAAATACATCAAAATATCCCCAAATAACTCCCAAATTCGCCTGCGCTCCCAGGAGGGGAGCAATGGACAAGGTAACACCTCAAAATACATCCCATAATACCCCAAAATACACCCCAAAACACTCTGAAATCACCCCAAAAATACCAACCAAATAGCTCCAAAATAACATCAAAATAACCCCAAATTAACCCCAAAATCCACCTGTGCTCCCAGGAGGGGAGGACTGGACAAGGTAAGACCAAAACATCTCATAATACCCCAAAATACATCCCAAAATACCCTGAAATCGCCCCCCAAAATAACCTCAAAATACCCACAAAATAACCCCAAAATACAGTGCATAATAACCCCCAAATACTCTGAAATCACTCCAAAAATATCTCTAAAATAAACCCCGAATACCTCCAAAATACTACAGAATAACCCCAAATTACACCCAAAATAACCCACAATAACCTCAAAGTACATCCCATAACACCCTCCAATACACCTCAAAATACCCTAAAATCACCTCAAAAATACCCACAAAAATAACCCCAAATACCCCCAAAATCCATCCCGTAATACCCCAAAACACACCTCAAAACACCCTGAAATCACCCTAAAAATACCCACCAAATAGCCCCAAAATAACCACAAAATAATCCCCAAATGCCCCAAAATATCCCCAAATAACCCCCAAATGTGGCTCATCCCACCCACGGATCCCATGCCAGGCTTTGGGATAATCCCCTTCCCTGTCCTCTGCCACTGCAGGTCAAATTTGCTGTTTATTAATTTCTAGGAAAGGCTGAAATAGGATTTTGGAAAGATGGGATACCAGATCTCAAGGAATATTCGTAAAATCCCAAACTGGTTTGGGTTGGAAGGGATTTTAAGAATCATCCAGTTCCAACCCCCTGCCATGGGCAGGGACACCTTCCACTGTCCCAGGTTGCTCCAACCTGGCCTTGGACACTCCCAGGGATCCAGGGGCAGCCACAGCTTCTCTGGGAATTCCACTCCAGCCCCTCACTGCCCTCACAGCCAAAAATTCCTTCCCAATCTCCCCTTTTCCAGTGGGAAGCCATTCCCTGTGTCCTGTCCCTCCATCCCTTATCCCAAATCCCTCTCCAGCTCTCCTGGAGCCCCTTTACGACCTGGAAGGGGCTCTCAGCTCTCTCTGGAGCCTCCTCTTCTCCAGGGGAACATCTCCAGTCATTCCCACCTGTTGAGCACATTCCAATCCCTGCAGGCAGCACATCCCAAATATTTTCCACCGGCTCTCTACCAGTGTAAGGTCAAAAATGGCGGGAAAATCAAGATGGAAAGTCAAAATAGAAACTAAGCAAACAAACAGAAAAGCCAATCCAGCTGCTACATCCCAATTCCGGGATCTAAAAGCTGGAGTGGTCCTGAAGGGATTGATGCCCTCATTCCAATGGGTCCTGAACTGATCCCTGTTAGGGAAAATCCCCAAACAATCCTCTCCCAGGCACAGCAGATCTTGCTCTGCTTCACTCAGATCCCTCAGGAAAACAACTTAAAGGATTGTTTCCTTCCAGTTGCCAGCACCTGGTTTCCAAAGGAACATCCAGAATCGAGGCCAGACACCACAAATTCCAACTGGGATGGGAGCAAATCCAGCAATGGCCATAAAGTGCACAACGAGGCTCTTCCCTAATTCTTCCAGCTCCAGATCCCACATGGAGCTGGAAACACGGGAGCAAAGAGTGGGAACTGTGCAGACACAGCCCCAGCGCCGTGACAGCTTCAGAAGAGCATTAAAGGGATCATTTCCCTGCCTTGTCTCTTTATGTTCCCTTTATCTTCACATCTAATTCCTTAATTTCCTCGTCTTTGATGCTCTGGGAGTGCAGCAGCTTCGCCGTCTCTGTTCCAAACTGGCAGCACAAATGCACTTTTAGCTGCTCGTGACAAGGTATAAGAGATGATCAGAGTGTCTCTCTCGCTTTATAACAGCAGCTATAAACGTTTAGGGGATAAAAAAACCAACAACAACAACAAAAAAAAAGGAAAATAAAAGCAGAGATTTACAAATACTTCCCCCTCTCGGCAAATTCAGCTCCAGCCCTTTCTGTCTTTAGAAGGCAGGAAGAGAATAAATCCTGAAGGAAAGGATATATTTAACTGGATAAAATACTGAGACATGCAGAGTTTATGAAAAATGCTGCCCATTACTGGGCTCTGCTCTAGTACAGGGGATATATTTTATGAAGGGTTTTCGAGAAGAAAGAGAAGATACTTTGGGCTTTATTTGCATTTGCGAAGGGAAATATCTGTCTTCTGGATCTGCTCCTCCTCCCAACCCTGCAGCTGAATCCTTCCCATCACCTCCAGCCTCCCTGTAACCACAGAACCATAAAATCATGGAATTTTGGGGGTTGGAAGGGACCTTGAAGACCCTCTTATTCATGCTTTTCCTTAATTCTCCCTGAGTGACTTCCAGGGACTGGTTTATTTTGGCTGAGCAGCTGAAAAGACACATCAGTGCAGTTCATAAAGCTCAGAAAGCACAAGCATTAATAATAAATAACCCCCAAAAGCAGGTGGGTGAGGCAGCTCTTCCAGGGAATTCCTCACTGCAGGAACCACCACATTCCTGCTGCTCCAGCTCCATGAACTCGGGGATGACACTTTCCCACCCTTTCCAGAAAAAGCCTCTTCCCAAAGGATATATAGAATCCCTAATAAATTGTAGCTTGCAGGGAAGGAATGATTTGGGAATCAAACTAATGTCTAACTAGAGCACAAATTTAAATCTAGATTTACATAGATGGTTTAGATTTAATCTAGATTTGTTCTAGATTTACATAGATGGTTTAGATTTAATCTAGATTGGTTCTAGATTTAAATAGATGGTCTGTCCATCTTAAAGGACTTCAGAGTTTCCCATTCCAGGCACAGAAAATTTGCTTTGAACCAGTAACCAACACCTCAGTTAAGACTCAAACTGATAAAATAGTGGTATTTTACACAT